GGGATAAGCAAACGCCTGGTCGTCCCGTGACTCGCAGCCTAGACGAGATGGCATGGCTGGTGTGGGGGACGACCGGTTCACCTCGTCACCGCGACGGTGCTTCCCGACAATCACCCCAGCCAAATCGACTGGCATGCGCAGCAGGGTAGGAAAGAAAGCGGGGAGGGGAGGGGAGTAGAGGGGGGGGGGGCTCGCCCACACGGGGGTAGGGAGAGGGGGGAAGGCTTCTTAGAAGGAGGCCACTTCTTAGAAGGCGTCGGCCTTACATCTACAGAGAAGGCCCGCGCCTTCTAAGAATCAGGGGTGCTTCGAAGAAGCTCTCCCCCATCTCCCTGGCCCCCTCTGCGCGTGGCCGAGTGGAGAGGGTGGCGAAGAAGGATGCGAGCCTGGACGCGGCACCCCTAGACAAGCGCGTCCCACTACCCGCAGCGTGGCTGCCCGCAAACCGCCTGGATCCACTGCCTCGAGGCCGACAAGCTCCACTGCATCGAAGAACATCCGTCTGGGGGACGCCTGCGAGTGGACACTTCGCGAGCAGCGGAACGCGCTCGGTGAACCTTATGTTGCTCCCATCGTACTTAAGGACCACATCACAGAAATAATTTCTCAAGCGGCCAGAAAGGTATCGGAGCAGTGTCGAACGAGTGTCGCCTGCCAGGGCACGACACGTGACCCCCCCCCCAGTATCGGTACTTTCTTGGTGCTCGAAATTATTCGGGGGCGCGCAAACATGAATCAGCGATCCCGAAAATACGGCCAATGCTGCTTCGTTCGGCGGCGGAAATCCGCGATTCCCATGGAAACGGGACCCGTCGCTAATCCACGCCCCGTTGATCCATGCTTGCGATCGCCTGACTTCTCTCTGGTGACCAAGGCGAGAGTGGGCTGGAACATCATATCGGCGGCGACGACAGGGGCGAATAGCCCAGGGGCGGGCGTTGCACGCACTCGCCCGGGACCCTCGCCGAAGGCATGGACCATCGGCGCCCCTGGATACATTTAAGTTGGGCCTGTCCTCCTACAGGGGGACTTTGGACGAAAAATCAATTACTCCGACGGAAGAACCCCACATAAGAATCCTCTGGGCGAATCTGGAAAAAGCCATCACCGTCGTCCTCGTGGTTGGTGAGGCGTCCTGGCTGTCTCTTCTGCGTATATTTCCTCTCGCCTTGGCGCGGGCCCCCCTTCCACTCCTTACGTTGTCCCCATCCTCGCCCCCCTGTTTGTTCCGCGCCCCGCCACCTCCTCCCCTTCCTGTTGCATGAGCGCGCATGTCGATGTTCCTCGGCGCCGTCGCCGCCACGGCCAGCACAGGCGCGTTCTCTACTGGTCACGTCGCGCAGCCGTTGGGACAACCCCGCGGGCCAGGCTGTCGGGACAACCCCGCGAGCCGTTGGCGCGCAAGACCAAGCCGTTGGGACAACCCCGCGGGCTTCGAGCGAGGCGCAGCCGCGCTCAGGCGGAAGGCAGCACGAAGCCCAGCTCTGCCGCGAGCTGCTTCGCCTCCGCCCTGGACAAAACCGCTCTCTTGTCGAACTCCAGGAGCGCCTTCCGCAGGGACGCCGGCGGCCCGCACTCCAGGAACTCTCGCGGCGGCGGCCGCAGGATCAGCATGTTCCGCATGCACGTGGCGCGGGAGAACATGACGTAGAGGTGCAGCCACCACTGCTCGTCCGACATGCCCGTGCGGCCAGCGTCCTCGTCTCTCGCGCAGTCGATGGTGACGCCCTTGCGCAGCGTCTGGCCCTGCGACAGCGTGGAGGTCAGGTAGGACGCGTGCGTCAGGGTGAACCCCGAGCGGCGCACGCTGTGCGCCCCCGAGCTCTGCCATGTGAACTCCCTTTCGCTGGGCCTGAACATCAGCAAGCTCCGCGCCCGCGCCTCGGCCTGGCCGTCGTCGTCGGCGCCTTCGGCGCCCTGTCGCAGCACCTCGGCGACCTCCTGGTAGATCGGAGACTCCTTGAAGCCGTGCACCTGCAGCCAGATTCCCTGCGGTAGGAAGCGGGGGCGAAAGAGCTGGCCTGCCGAGCACTCCTCGTAGCGCTGCTCGTCCTCGTGGTGGAACTCGAAGGACACGATGGTGGCCCGCTGCTCCTGCACGAGCCCCAACTTCTTCTTCAGCTCCTCCTGCGCTGCCGTGAACCGCACCTCCATGCCGACGTGGGCCGGCAAAACGCCGTGGATGTCCCCCGTCTTGTGCATGTTCGGGACGTTCAGGAGGCGCCGACCCGCGTCGGGCTCGCTCTGAATCGTGCCGCACTCGTCAACGGCCTGCAGGAAAACAAGGGGCACGCCCAGACGCCGAGCGTCGCGACGAGCGCGCGTGTTGATCCACCTCGCCAGCGTCTCCCAGTATACGCCCACGCCGTAGCCGAGCCGAAAGTTCTCGTGCTGGTGCCGAGGGCCCAGGACGCCCTGGTTGTCCGTGGCCAACGTCTGCTCCCAGGCGGACCAGACCTCAGGTGGGAAGGGCTTGCCCTCGCGCATGCAGCCCAGGAACGTGATCAGAGGGTCCCCGGGCTCGAAGCGCTTCGTGCCCTTCAGCTCGAAGACGCAGGGGATCTGAGAGAAGACCTTGATGGCGTGCTGGATCTCCACCGTCGGCGGGTCCGCGTACCTGTACGACTCGTCGTCGTCCAGGCGCTCGTTCACGTCCGTCAGGAGGCCAATGCTGCCGGTGGGCTTCAGCTGCAGGAAATCGCCGAGGTGCAACACGATGGGCACGCGCCCGAAGTGGTGGTGTGGCCGCTGGTAGTTCGACTCCTGCACGTCGTGCGTGTCACTGCGTCCGTGGCAGGCGCGAAGGTCCAGCGCGTTGTACAGCGCGGCTGCCACCATGCTTATCTCCTCGATGGCAAGAACGCGGACGTGATCCCACAACCACTTCAGCCTCTTCTGCATGCCCCCCGGCCGCAGCTTCGCGTTGGTGTAGTTCTGAACTCGCATGGCACAGGCATTGTGCAGCGTTCTGGCTTTGACAGTCTCGGTGGAGATGTTCTTCGCCTGCGCGTTCGAGAAAGCCACGACCATCATGCTGGCCCTGTCCGGCGCCGGCGAAGGCCACACGTATTCCACCACATGCTCCTCAGTGCGTAGTGGATGCGTGCCGGGAATAGCGTTCTGTGAACACGACGAACACGAAGTGGCCTACAGTTGGCTCCTCGCAATTCACTCAGAAACGAGGCTCCCGCCTGAGACTTCCTCCAAATTCAGGCCTGAGGAGCCCAAAAACTTCCTTGTTGCGTCCAAAATGTGGCCTGGGAACTGCGTTCTGGCAGCGCGAGAACCCAAAATTGACGACAGTTACAGGTTTCCGATAACCCGCTCGGATTACCAACATGATCTGCGGGCCCCATAGGGAGGGGGCTCCCGCCTGAGACTTCCTCGCAGTTCACTCACAGACGAGGCTCCCGCCTGAGACTTCCTCCATATTCAGGCTTGAGGAGCCCAAAATTGACGACAGTTACAGGATTCCGATGGCCCGCTCGGATTACCAACATGATCTGCGGGCCCCATAGGGAGGGGGCTCCCGCCTGAGACTTCCTCACAATTCACTCAGAGACGAGGCTCCCGCCTGAGACTTCCTCCAAATTCAGGCTTGACGAGCCCAAAAGTGACGACAGTTACAGGTTCCGATGACCCGCTCGGATTACCAACATGATCTGCGGGCCCCATAGGGAAGGGGCTCCCGCCTGAGCCTTCCTCAGAATTCACTCACAGACGAGGCTCCCGCCTGAGACCTCCTCCAAATTCAGGCTTGAGGAGCCCAAAAGTGACGACAGTTACAGGTTTCCGATGACCCGCTCGGATTACCAACATGATCTGCGGGCCCCATAGGGAGGGAGCTCCCGCCTGAGACTTCCTCCCAATTCACTCACAGACGAGGCTCCCGCCTGAGACTTCCTCCATTTTCAGGCTTGACGAGCCCAAAAGTGACGACAGTTACAGGTTTCCGATGACCCGCTCGGATTACCAACATGATCTGCGGGCCCCATAGGGAGGGGGCTCCCGCCTGAGACTTCCTCACAATTTACTCAACGATGATGAGGATGAGGATGATGAGTGGTGGTGAAGATGAGTGGTGAAGAGGATGATGATTGATTGTGAGTGGTGGTGGCGATGATGATGTTTGAATGAGGATGATGCCGATGCCGATGATGATGATGATGATGATGATGATGATGATGATGATGATGATGATGATGAGATGAGATGATGATGATGATGATGATGATGAAGATGATGATGATGATGATGATGATGATGATGTTCGTGAGCGTGTGAGAGAGTGCGAGTGATGATGATGATGAGTATGTGAGTGACTAAGCATGTGAGAGAGCATCATCGATGATGCTGATGAGGTTGATGATGAGAGAGTGTGAGTGAGTGTGAGTGGGTGTGTGTGTGTTCCTGTCCTGTTCCTGCGCGGGGTGTCCAGAGAAAACAAGAACCCCACTTTGGATGTGGGGAAAAACAGTCCAAAAATACTTCAAAATGGCAAAAAATACTCCTAAAATAGTCCCAGGGCTATTTTTTGACTACTTGTGGATATTCCTCCTGTAGAGGGACAGGCCCGACTTAAGGATACATGGATTGCTCCCCCCATCATAGCAAGAATAGCATGTGGCTAGGAGAAGATGATGTGGCCAGGAGAAGAAGGTGTCCACAATGAAGAGCACTGAAATATTTGAGCATAGCACAGCTCATAAACGGTCGTGTGCCGCGCCAAATGGAGATATCTGGTTGGCAGAACAGTTGCTCCGAGATCATGTAGGCTATTGGCCCTGCACGGTTTCCCCCAGGGCCGTAGGCGACCCGAGAAGGAGGAGGAGGAGGAGGAGGAGGAGGGAGGAGGAGGAGGAGGAGGAGGAGGAGGAGCAGGAGGGAGGAGGGAGGAGGAGGAGGAGCAGGAGGAGGACGACGACGACGGGTCGCCTAAGCCCTTCGGCGAAACCCCCTTCGTCGCCTCCGATCATAGGGTGAGCCCCCCCTTCCCCACGCCCGGCGGGCCGATGCAGCGGGGAGGCTGCCCGCGAGCCGGCACCGCCGCCTCCGCCGCCGCCGGGGCCTCCACAGAGGTGGCGCAGGACCCCACACCCCCACGCCGTCCTGCCGTCCCTCCCCCCTCCTCCTCCCCTCCTCCTCTTCCTGCTCCTCCCCCCTCCTCCTCCTCCTCCTCTCCTGCTCCTCCTCTCCTGCTCCTCCTCCTCCTCCTCCTCCTCCTCCTCCCTCCTGCTCCTCCTCCTCCTCCTCCTCCTGCTCCTGCTCCTCCTCCTCCTCCTCCTCCTCCTCCTCCTCCTCCTCCTCCTCCTCCTCCTCCTCCCTCCTCCCCTCCTCCTCCTCCTCCTCCTCCCCTGATGATCCGCAACTCCTCCTCATCATTTTCCTCCTCCTTCGCCTCCCCCCCTCGTCATCCTCCTCCCTTCCTCCTCCCTTCCTCCTTCTCCCGCTCCTCCTCCTCGTCCTCCTCCTCCCCTCCTCCTCCTCCTCTCCTCCTCCTCCTCCTCCTCCTCCTCCTCCTCCTCCTCCTCCTCCCCCTCCATTCCTCCATTCCTCCCCCGTCTCCTCCCTTCTTCCTTCCTGCCTTCCCTCGCCATTTCCGCCCCCCTCCCGTTTTCAACATACTCAATGTGGATACTACTTTCCTCTCACCCCCGAGTCGGAAGATGTTTGGCCTTCTCCGCGCATTGCTTCGCACACGAGAGGCTACTTTATGTGGTAGCTCCTGCTGTCTGTTCGACAATTTGATTGTTTTCCCGTTTTAAAAACGGTGTTCTCGCTGGAACGTGGGCCACCTTTTCGGATCGGTGCTTTGGTGCCGTCGTTCAGAATGACGCTTGCCGCAGCGTGGGCCACTTATCTGGATGCAGGTGTCGCAACTCTCGCAGGTCTCACAAGTCCCGCGGGTCCGAGAAGTCCCGCAGTTTCCACAATTCCCTCAAGTGTCAGAGGTCTCGCAGGTCCCACAGAGGATCCCCAGGTCCCACAATTTTCACAGGTCCCGCAGGTCCCACAGTCTCGCAGGGATCGCACGACCCACAATTCCCACAGGTCCCACAATCCCCACATGTCCCACAGTCCCACCTGCGTCGGAGGTCTGCCATGCCACACAGGCCGTACATGTCCCCCAGGCCGCTTAGGTCCCACAAGTTCCCCATTTCTTACAGGTCGCACAGGTCCAGGTCCCCACCTGCCCCACAGGTCCCACAGGTTCCACAGGCCACAGAAGTCCCACACGGTCCACAGGTCCCATTGATCGTTCAAATCCTACAGTTCCCACCTGCCCCGCGGGTCCCACGTGTCAGGCCATGACACGCGTCCGCGAACAGAGAAAGAGCAGCGCAATGGGAACGGCTGAAATGGAGGAGCACGGATGTCAAATGTGGCGCGAGCGCGCCTAGTTTTTCCGATCCCGCTCTCCCTTCGCCTCTCTCCTCCCACCCTCCCGTCCCTTCCCACTCTCACTCCCCATTCCATACCACCCACGTCCTCCCTCCCCCATCCAATCCCCCCCTCTTACCCTTTCTGCAGACCCCTGTTCTTCCCGTACCCACACCCCTCGCCACTCCCTCACCACCGGCCACTGCCCTTCAGCCTGTGAGGGCGACAGCGAAGTAAAGGCTCCCGGGATCGACCCACTCGCATGACCTCCAAGGGTGGTGAGATAGGTTGATTAGAGTTCTGTGCTCCCCTCACGTGGTGCGACGCACTGGCAAGGACAGACAGCACTGTCGCACACATCACAGGGCACGGCACTAGCCAAAGGAGGAACCTCGCAGCCATGCCCGAAGCGAAACTGCGGCCTGTGCCTGTGGGGTGCGATGGGTCGGGGAACGTCGTGGCGATCCCGTGCGCGATTCGTTCCACATCGTGGTGACGCCTGCGTCTGCTTTTGCCCTGCGCAGCAAGACTTTCGCACGTCTCATATGGCACTGCGTTTGTCGTCATCGCAGCCCGTGGGCGTCCAGGGCGAATTACCAGACGGTGTGCAGCACAGCCATGAGCTCAGGCTGTTCTGGGAAGGGAGGTCGTGTACATTGAAAAGGTTGGGATAAAATGCAGATGTGCGTACACATTGAAGAGGTCGGTACGCAGCTCAAAAGATCGCGAGCTGGGATCGCTCCCGGCTCCGCTACCAACTAGAATTGCGAGTGGCAGTGACAAGAGGTACGAGACGTGGCGGCAATTGTAACATGAGAGATAGCAGAGCGGCGGTGCTTGCCCCATAACTACGCTGGCCAGCTGTGAGTAATACGGCAGCGGACCCCTACTATTCGAGTGAGAGAGAGAGAGAGAGGAGGAGGAGGAGGAGGAGGAGGAGGAGGAGCAGGAGGAGGAGCAGGAGGAGATGAGGAGGAGCAGGAGCAGGAGGAGGAGGAGCAGGAGGAGGAGAAGGAGGAGGAGGAGGAGGCCCCGCGCCTGGCACGCCGAAGCCGAGGTGCACGCGGGGCGAGGCGGCGCCCACCCGCGGCGACGCGCAGCGTGAGCCGGGCCGGCTGCCTGGCCGCGGCGGGCGTCCCGTGCGCTCGACCCCCGCCCCGCCAGGGGCCAGCGCTGGCGTCTGTGGCACCTCCTCCTCCTCCTCCTCCTCCTCCTCCTCCTCTCCTCCTCCTCCTCCTCCTCCTCCTCCTCCTCCTCCTCCTCCTCCTCCTCCTCCTCCTCCTCCTCCTCCTCCTCCTCCTCCTCCTCCTCCTCCTCCTCCTCCTCCTCCTCCTCCTCCTCCTCCTCGGAAGCTCGGCGGTACATTTAGGTCGGGCATGTCCTCCTACAGGGGGAGTCTGGACGAAAAAATGGAGAAGAGTCCAAAAGATACCCCCCGGATGGATAAAAACTGCTCCAAAACTCGTCCCGGGAGTATCTTTTCACTCTTGTTTGATGTTCCTCCTGCAGAGGCACAGGCCCGGCTCAACAGTACATCGCCGATGGATCGGCGGTGGGCCCCCGACAGCGAATCCGCAGCTTCCTGGGCTGGATGGGGCTATCGGACCCCTAGCGGGGTCCGTGGGCGAGTGGGGGTCGATGCCACGCAAGGGGCCCAGGGACACACAAATAAATACACACAAACAACAGGATTCACCATAGTTTCCCATACTTTCTGGGTTTTCGTCTTCCCCCCCACTTCCCATATCTTCCCATATTTTATTGGAAGTCGACGATTAATTGTGTCTGTGTGTTTTCTTCCCTCCTGACCCATGCCTATCCCCCCTTATCGTTGCCCATGATCCTTCGGTGGCAACTCATGGGAGCCTCCCATAAAATCTTGTTCGCTCGTTAAAACGGCGCCACGAATCGACGCTGATCGACGCTACATCGGCGCTACCTCACCGATTTCCAGACGCTGGTCGACGCTACAGTCAAAACGTTGATTAAGGACGGGTAGTAAGGACGCAAGACCCTTGGAGGCCGAAGTTGGATTTTGGGCGGGGGGCGGCCAGTGAAAACGGCGACGGACGGGCCGCAGAGGCAAGGACTCAAGGGCACCCTAGATGGAGGCACGCGTCCTTACTAGGCGCGTTGACTGTACTGCACGCTGAAGACGGAGATACGAGGGAACGCAAGACTCCCATGATTTGCCACCGAACGTTTCCTCCTCGCCAAATCATCGGCGGCGACCCAGGGGAGGGAGAGCAGAGGGGGCGGACCTTCTCAGAAGGCTCGGCAGGCCTCCAGACTTCTGAAAAGCTTTCCTGGCCTGCTAAAGGGGCCCTGGGACACACAAATAGATAGACACAAAAACAGGATTCCCCAGAGTTTCCAGTATCTTCTGGGATTTTGTCTTCACCCCCACTGCCCATATCTTCCCATGTCTTCCTGGGAGTCGACGATTATTTGTGTCTGTGTTTTTCCCCAGCCTGGCTTTCTCCGAAGAGGAGGAGGAGGAGGAGGAGGAGGAGGAGGAGGAGGGCTGAGGGCTCCGACGGCTTCTCAGCAGGCCAGAGGGCCTCTGAGATGCCCCGCCGCCTTCTGGGAAGGGCCCGCCCTCTCTCGCTTCCCCCCCCCCGGGCGCGCCGCAGAAATAGGCCTCGGGGTCCCAAGACCAGGGCTGAACCTGAACTGTGTTTTTCGTTTTCGTTTTGTTTTCGGTTTCCCTGGTTTTGTCTTCGATTCGCTTTTACCGCAGAAATAGTCCTTGGGGTCCCAAGACGGTGCGGTGACAGACCGAAACACAGGGCAAACGAAAACTATTTTCGGCGGTAGACAGACCTCACTTTAGGAAACCTCCTCCCTTTAGTAAACCTCCCTTTGGTGCAAACGGCCTCGGACCGAAACCGACGGGCCTGGACCCGCAAAAATGACGGCCGCGACGCCCTCTCGCGAGCCGAAAACGGCCAATTCGATAATCGACGTGTCAGGATAGAAGGTCTATCAACATCCGAAAAACTTCTTGGCGACGGAGCGCGTCGAGTGCACCCATCGCCAATCCATGCGGTCTGCTGCGCGTTTGAGCTTCCTCAACCTCCCCTCCCAGAGGCCGGCTGCCGTTGGGGCCTTCGGTGGAGCTCCCTATGGGGCCACGAAGCGTGTGAGGGGTGTGCCGAAACAGAAACATGCGAAAGGCAGGGGCAAGGAGGGGGAGGAGGGAAGATTGGGAGGAGGAGGAGGAGGAGGAGGAGGAGGAGGAGGAGGAGGACGAGGAGAAAGACAAGGAGGAGGAGAGGAGGAAAGAAGAGAAGAGGAGAGGAGAGGAGAGGAGAGGAGAGGACAGGACAGGACAGGAGAGGACAGGACAGGAGAGGACAGGACAGGAGAGGAGAGGAGAGGTGAGGAGAGGAGAGGAGAGGAGAGGAGAGGAGAGGAGAGAGGCGAGGCGAGGCGAGGCGAGGCGAGGCGAGGCGAGGAGAGGAGAGGAGAGGAGAGGAGAGGAGAGGAGAGGAGAGGAGAGGAGAGGAGAGGACAGGAAAGGAGAACAGAGGATAGGAGAAGGACGCGGGGCGTTTTTTCTTCAAGATGTGGAATCACCACCGCAGGACGGCAGGGAAAAACCAAAAGATGGGATCCC